ACTGCTGAAAATGATGAACACACGGTCACAAGAAACTCATCATTCTATAAGAAGTTAGATAGATCATTACTTCAAAACAACTCTAGCTTTGATGATCATAACCCCTCGCTTACTGATTATGACACCACACCCGATCCGGTATATCCTCAACAATCTACAAAATCTAGCTCCATCAATTCACCATCATTGCAAATAAATATGCCAAAGACGAGTAATCCTAACAACGGTGAAAACGTAAAAGTGAACAGTCCAGGACAAGAACACAAATTGACTAACAGCGATGATTCTACAAAATCCGCTCCTACACTTCGCAGATCGTCAAGAAAGCCAGTTCCACGCAAAATACTTGATTTGTAATCTAGTGACATTCGCTTAGTCGATTCATAACATTTAAAGTATATCTCAGACTTTTGAACTCTTGACATTCATCGTGATTCTTGTTGTTTGTTATTATTCGTTACTCGATAAGATCAAAATTGTATTGTGAGATTTTTAGTATCCACAAGGAAGGGGATGTAATGTCCTATATCATTATTTATGCATGACCTTTGACATCACACGATATGTTACTATAGTGATGACTCTGTAGCATTATGGGATACCTAAACGGCATGGCCGCCATCAGTTGTCAATAAATATACGTCTATCCAAAACAGAGCTTCTCGAGTTGATTTATCAATACAGACGTTACAATTTCCAATCGCTGTTTTCAATAATGTTGGTCCAGACGTTGGAGTTAAGTTCACATGTGTAGTATTTGGTGTTTCCGTGGTAGTGCGGGTATTCTCTCCGTGTTTTTGACTGGCATCGCAGATCGATGTGTGATGTCTTTTTCCACACTTACGACACGAGAATTTACTCCAACATTCAGTCGATCTGTGTTTTCCACCAAAGCAATTAAAACATATCTTGTTTTTCACCAGTATTTCCATACGGGTCTTATCGTCTGACACGACTTGACATCTTCCCGATAGGTGAGATCCCTGGCAGAACACACACGGTTTCGGTTTGGCTCTGGTCCCCACATGTAGAGTAGCGGCAGTAGGAATTGGATTATCGTATTGTTCATTTCCGATGTTGATTGCGGCCTGGTTTGCTTGTATCTCTTTATAAAGAGCATCCTTCAGTTCTGTTATGGTCCACGCCTTATCGCCATGTTCACGTGAAATCTGTATTTTCACACTTTGGGGCAGTTTATCTAGAACAATAGGAACTAGTAGTTCGCCGTAACTTTCTTCAGTTTTCCCCAGAGATTTAAGGCCTCTTATATGTGTTTCTAACGAATCATAAAAGGAGCGAATACTCACAATAGTAGTGTTCGGTTTTGGTAGTTGCCACAACGCTGTCATGTGACATGAAATCAGTTTGTGTGGCTGCCCATAGCGGTCTTTCAATAGTTGTAACGCTTCCTTGTAGTTTGCGCTGCTCAGTTGTAGTCCCTCTATTGTTTTTGCGGCTTCACCTTCTACTTGTGCCATTAGGTATTGATATTTCTGTATATCTTCTAAGGAACTATCTTGATCTACTGCTGCATTGAAAGTGTCAATCGAATTTCGGCAATTCCAGTTTTGGTAGGTTGACTTTCCGACTTGACTGGTATAGTGACGATGACGAGCCGTTGGTTAAGGTATCCGGTAAAGTAGGTATAGATGTTACAGGAGATTTAGTTCTAAGATAGTGCTTGATAGTTGCAACACTCTCATTGTTGAAAATATGGTAGTCATCGATCTCTTCGAATAGCTTGCTGTACGCACCTTCACCAGTTGTATTTGCAAGGATTATATCATCCAGGCTTTCTATGGTCTGCATTCGTTGTTCGATGTTGACCACCGTTGTATCTAGCAGAACAAGGTCGGACTGACTTGGGTTTTCTTTGGCGAGGATCTGCTCAGCTTTCTTGAGTTGTTTAGTCATCTGACATCGATGACCGCGTCTTTTCATGGTGGTTTCTTGTACTACATCCCTTCTCACGGTCTGTTCGGGTTCTTCGTCGGACATGGTAATTTGTTATAAACTTGATCGGTCTCTGCAACGTTTTCTGTTTTCGACGACAATCCTGGTCTCGGCACCAAATGTGGGCGAGTATAGGGATAGTTGGTACAAGATGATGCTTACAGTATGATGGTTAACACACAACTGGTTTATTCAGAAAGACACTAAGCTATTAAATATACAATACACAGGATGTAGTAATTAAAGTCAAACATGATCCAGATGTCAGGCGACAGTTTAGCTTTGTATTTGATCTAGCTATTAAACTTGGTATATGGGTTGTTACGTAATCGTAACGTAGACATCATGTCTGTTCCCGACACATGCAAGTACTAACCACGTACGGTGAGCTTAACTTCAGTGATCGGACTAGAACTGGTGTATTCTGCAATGGTTTGTCAGTAGGCTGAAAATTCGTCGGTATTGGATACCATTTAATGATTCGACTAGGCAAAAAATCACGGGAAAAAGTTAGTATGTACAGAGGAATAAAAATGTTAATGTGCCTACTGCACATGATATTCTCAGCCGGTCTCCCATGCAAGTACTAACCACGTCCGGTGAGCTTAACTTCAGTGATCGGATGAGAACTGGTGTATTCTGCAATGTCTTGTCAGTAGGCTGAATATTCGTCGGAATTAGATGACATTTAATGTTTCGGCTTGGCAAAAAATCATGAAAAAAAGTTAGTGTACGGTGGAATAAAAATGTTCATCAGCCTACTGCAGGTAGTATTCCCAGCCGTTCTCCAATGCAAGTACTAACCACGCCCGATGCAGCTTATCTTCAGTGATCGGACGAGAACTGGTGTATTCTGTAATGGTTTGGCAGTAGGCTGAATATTCGTCAGAATTGGATGTCATTTAATGCAACGGCTAGGCAAAAAATCATAGGAAAAAGTTAGTATGTAATGTGGAATAAAAATGTTGATGAGCATACTGCACGTGGCATTTCCAGCCGGTCTCCCATTCAAGTACTATCCACGCCCGATGCAGCTTAACTTCAGTGTTCGGACGAGAACTGGTGTATTCTGCTATGTTTTGGCAGTAGCCTGAATATTCGTCGGAATTGGATGTCATTTAGTACATCGGCTAGGAAACAATTCCCGGGAAAAAGTTGGTATGTACGGTGGAATAAAAATGTTGATAAGCCAACTGCACGTTGTATTTCCAGCAGATCTCCCATGCAAGTACTAACCACGTCCGGTGAGCTTAACTTCAGTGATCGGACGAGAACTGGTGTATTCTGCAATGGTTTGTCAGTAGCTGAAAATTCGTCGGAATTGGTTGCTCATTTAAAGCTCTTGGCTAGGCAAAAAATCTCTGGAAAAAAAGTTAGTATGTACGGTGGAATAAAAATGTTAATGTGACTACTGCTCTTTGATATTCTCAGCCGGTCTCCCATGCAAGTACTAACCACGTCCGGTGAGCTTAACTTCAGTGATCGGACCAGAACTGGTGTATTCTGCAATGGACTGGCAGTAGACTGAATTTTCGTCGGAATTGGATATCAATAATTGTTTCGGCTATGCAAAGAATCCAGGAAAAATGTTACTATGTACTGCGGAATAAAATTTTTGATGAGCCTACTGCACGCGGTATTACCAGCCGGTCTCCCATGAAAGTACTAAACATGTCCGATGCAGATTAAGTTCAGTGATCGGACGAGAACTGGTGTATTCTGCAATGGTTTGGCAGTAGGCTGAATATTCGTCGGAATTGGATGTCATTTAATGCTACGGCTAGGCAAAAAATCCCGGGAAAAAGTTGGTATGTACGGTGGACTAAAAATGTTGATAAGCCTACTGCACATGGTATTCCCAGCCGGTCTCCCGTGCAAGTCCTAACCATGCCCGATGCGGCTTAACTTCAGTGATCGGACGAGAACTGGTGTATTCTGCAATGGTTTGGCAGTAGGCTGAATATTCATCGGAATTGGATGTAATTTAATACTTCGGCTAGGCAACAAATCCCGGGAAAAAGATGGTATGTACTGAGGAATAAAAATGTTGATAAGCCTACTGCACGTGGTATTCCCAGCCGGTCTCCCGTGCAAGTACTATCCACGCCCGAAGCAGCTTAACTTCAGTGTTCGGACGAGAACTGGTGTACTCTGCAATGGTTTGGCAGTAGGCTGAATATTCGTCGGAATTGGATGTAATTTAATACTTCGGCTAGGAAACAATTCCCGGGAAAAAAGTTGGTATGTACTCTCTTTTTATTTCTCAGTTGTAAAGTATACAGTTCATCTATTTTAAAAAATACATTGCAAATTTACGATAAAGGTCAAAATAGTAATTAATAAATATAGATACTTACATAAAAAGTCTATGTATATAGTTTTTATCAATATCTTTAAAATACGTCATGCATTGTCAACTATCGGTAGCTAAGCATGTGCGCAAGACTAAAAATATATACTAGAATACACGATTTACAATTGTATATACAAAAAACGGTGACATACACGCTCTGTGTGTGGCCTCTTGATGAGTGTTAAAGTATTGTCCGAATAGAAGACAATGTCCGTGGTCAATATATAACCCAGTATTAATTCAACTGTTGGTAAAGTTGGTCCCTATGTAATTTCCGCGGCAGTTTGGAGTTTCCCGTCTGTTACTGTGGCGATGGCATCGTTAATGCAGTACCCGTTGGTGAACGACTGTATCGAGTGGTTGAGATGATGGTATTCAAATTCATTCTTCAAACGATTTTTGACCCGTGCTTTGAAGCACATCAGTACATCGGTTTGGTCCAGATCATTCATTTTGTTGTATCGTGTGACATGTATTGCCACCTTGGCAGTTGTGATAAGGAAACACAGCAACTGATGACAATCTCTGTTATATTTGTGTGTAGGTGGACCGAATATGTACCAATTCAAAGGAATACCAGTATTCGAATCCAGTACTAGTTTGACGATCCTTTTGAGAGTGAGATGAACAAAAGCAAGCCGACTGCATTAAATGAATATGTGCACCAGGTCATCGACCTCGTCACAAAAAGGGTATTTATCTGTGTCTCTGATACGAGAACTTAGTAAAAACCTGCCAGTGGGATATGCGCCGTGGATTAGGCGCCACTGTAGGTCACCATCTTTTTTTAATATGGGTGGCAGATATCAATTACCAAAGTTAGGTGTAATATAATAGTATTTCATGCCATATCGTATTTTGTTGCGTGTTTTGGTGTTTAATGTATTGTAGAGTAACAAGTCATTTATATATGGACCCTTTTTCAAGTTTATATAACGGACAGTTTAGCAGGAGATCTCGATCGTCTTCTTTAAATATAATATCAAAATAGTATTTTGGATTGTTGACTTGCACGTGTGTATCAAAAGTATTTTCGATTATCCTTTTCCATTTTTCAGGTATAGCTCTCATAATAACGCCCATCGCTAAAACAAACACACGTTTGGAGTATATAGGCACTTGACGATGAATTGTGTCGTTATCCAGTCACCTTCCATTGTCGATTAACTGGCCTACTTTAGTGATGCCGGCCTCAATGAAATGTCGCATGTTTAATGGTAAACCACTCAGATGGTGTCTTATAAGTGGATTAAATAATAACGGTTCCTCAGATACATCATGGTAGTTGGACGGACCTTCTATTCTCTTCCAAGGCAATTACGACCACAATAACATGAGTTCTTGATAAAAGATAGGCGTGTTTTCATTGCTTTTACTCACAGTTGTTGCGAATATTTGTTTACCGTACCTCAAGTTTTTGACATTTTGCAGGAAAAAATCAGTAAACCAAAAACATGGATGCTCCGATTCAGAGTATAGATATTGTTGTAGATATTGAAGGTGGTAGGCAGCGATGCGGGATGAGAGATCCACGAGACCTTGCCCACCTTCATTCATTGGTAAGTATTGTGTCTCCTTTTTAATCCATTGTCTACCTTGCCACAAAAATGTTAAGAAGACATCTTGTATTGTTTGTATTAATGCTTTGGGTGGACACAGTGAAACAAATCTGTGTAACAGCTTTGAAGCGACTATCTGATTCACAATTAGAGTACGCCCTCTAAACGACATACGTGGCGTATATTTGTTGTACCAATCCAATTTGGCCCTCACCTGTTCAACCATATCTTTCCAGTTATTTTCCTCAAAGCTGGGCGTGTTGCCTAGATATGTGACGAGAATTTTTAGGCCATCGCTGTTCCAGTTAATATTTAGTGGTTTGTTTCTTCGGGATCGCCATTGACCTATCCAAAGACCCTGGGATTTTGTGAAGTTAATACGAGCGTTGCTCGCACGTACGTATATTTTAAGCCAATGCTCAAGTTTTGGAAAGTCTTCATTCTCGGTAAGAAAAAAGCGTCTGCGTAGGCTGAAAGATTGATCTGTCTATTGTATTTCGCTTTCCGTTCTTATTTTATTTAAGAGCGTCTCAATAACAATCGTGTATAGTTGCCCGCTTAGGCTGCATCCTTGTCGAATACCGCGCATAAAGTTAACAGGGCTGGTTAGCGA